CTGTGCCCCGGCGCGTTCATTGTGGCCGGGCGTTCGCAATTTTTCTCCCCGTCGAAAAGCCAGTTTGACTGGACCCGCATATTATGCCCGTGAAGTCGTAAAAGATCACTTACTCGAGAAGCTGCCGGGGACAAAAATATGACGCCCCGTCCGCGTGTTTACGTCTCCGTCATGCGACCGTTTGATAAAAATGTGAAGTTCGTTTGCCCGTACCACCGCAGCGCCATCTTTGTACGCGCCCACGTGTAGTCGTGCCCAGGCGTACGCTTATTTTCAGTTTGTATTTCTTATGTTTATTATATATCTGTATTGTGCGTGATAACTAAATATACAGGGTGTCACACCCGATTTTGACATCTTGATTTTCCCGCTATTGTTACTCGTAAACAAAAAATGTTTCAGCGGAGTCTTGAATGGTATCGAGCGGAGCATATCCTGATGTTATCAGTTTTTTCGTGAGTGGACGCGTAAAGGTCATATAAAGGTCAACTTTGTTTTTTTAAATGGAATGGGGTATTTTTTAATACATCGATCGATTCAGCTGGACAATCGTTATAAAAAAAGTACTAACAATGTAACGTCGAAAAATTAGTAGTTCAGGAGATATTGCAATTTAAATTATTTAAATTCTTAAGGGGTCTGGTAACACTAGAATATTGAAAAATTCGATTTTCTTGGCTTAAACAATAGTTTGAAGCCTTAAAGACATTATGCGAGAGGTCTCGGTGTCGGAACAATGTTTTTGCTGAAAATTTAGAGCCCCAAACGATGACGTGTATCTGCGTCCTGTAGCGTCATTACTACCGCGCTAAGACGTTAGCTCTGTTTACCAACGTTAGACTAGCAAATACAACGTAAACCAGTCATTATTTGATCGATTTAAAAAATGCCGTGATGTAAATGGTCGTTACGTTGAACAATTCCTGTAAATAAACGCTTAAAGTCTTAGTACAACAGTAATGGCGCTTTAGAATTATTTAAATTGAGATATCTCCTGAACTACTAATTTTTCGACGTTACATTGTTAGTACTTTTTTATAACGATTGTCCAGCTGAATCGATCGATGTATTAAAAAATACCTCATTCCATTTAAAAAAACAAAGTTGACCTTTATAAGATCTTTACGCGTCCACGAATAGCGAGAAAATCAAGATGTCAAAATCGGGTGAGACACCCTGTATATTGTGTTATGTGTGCAAGTGGAATTATTCAAAACCCCAACAAAATGTTTCGTTCAGCTGACCAAAATTCACGAATAACGAACAATTAACAGGGACGAATGCATTGCAATACTTTTTAAACTTTCACATTATTCTGAAAAAATTATTTTCGGTTGTAGGGGTCGATTACAATCATTTTTGGTGAATACACATACCCCCGAAATCCTATCCACTTTCGAGAACAAAATTCGAGAAGGTGTGGAATTTTTCAAAAATTCAAAAATTTCAGATCGTTCTAGAAAAATTATTTTCGTTGCAGGTGGTCATTTACAATCATTTTTTGTCATTACACATACCCCCGAAATCATACGCATTTTCGAGAAAAAAATTCATACCCAAAATTTAATTTCTGGCCAGAAATAGTTTTTCGAAACTTCGAGCGAATCTTTGAAACATCGTAACTCCTGAACGAATTGGACGATTTTAACGTTTCAAACGGCAAACAGCGTGTATTTAGACGAAGAACATGTACGAATCGCAACAATATTCGGAAAGTTGATCCTTGACCCCGCAAAAATGAGAAAAACCCACATAAAAGTGGTCCAATTTTCAAACAGCCATAACTCCTACAATAGTGAATATATTTGAATGAAATTTTTGTCTAAAGTAGAGCTCGTGGATAACTACAAAAAAGTATTAGACAAAATTTCCGTACAGCGTCGAACAAATTTATTAAAAATGAAAAACGAATTTTTAAGAAAAATCGACAAGGGGTGTCTAAATTTTTCAAAAATAGTTTCAAATCACCCTGGAAAAATTATTTTCGATTGTAGGGGTCGATTACAATTATTTTTGGTCAATAGACACACCCCTGAAATCCTACGCACTTTCGAGAAAAAAATTCGAGTATGTTTCGACAAAATTAAAAAATTTCAAATCGTTCTGGAAAAATTATTTTACGACTGCGGGAATCAATTACAATCATTTTTGGTGAATAGACATACATTAATAACCTCTTAACGAAGCCTCCATCAACAAATTGATATTCTTGATTTTCGAACTATTTTCTTTCTCAAAAATGCGCAAGATTTCAGGGGTATGTCTGTTCAACAAAAATGATTGCAATTTACTCCCGTATCCAAAAATAATTTTTTTAGAACGATTTGAATTTTTTTAATTTTGTCGAAAAATGTCACATCTTCTCGAATTTTTTTCTAGAAAGTGGGTAGAATTTTGGGGTTATGTCTATTGACCAAAAATGATTGTAATTGACCCCCGCAACCGCAAATAATTTTTCTAGAATGGTTTGAATTTTTTTAATTTTGTCGAAAAATGTCACATCTTCTCGAATTTTTTTCTAGAAAGTGGGTAGAATTTTAGGGTTATGTCTATTGACCAAAAATGATTGTAATTGACCCCCACAACCGAAAATAATTTTTCCGGATCGATTTGAAATTTTTGAATTTAATTGTTAATAACTTTTTAACGAAGCCTCCATCAACAAATTGATATTCTTGATTTTCGTCTTATTTTAGCCACTAGAATCTCCCATTAAAATTTTTCTCCATTCTCGTTTCTAATACATATATAGTAATATATTAATTTATAGTTTAAATCAAACTTCTTTGTTTCAAGTTGAACGTCATCACTATATGGTGGATCTTCATTACTAAATTTAGAACAAGGTATTCTATTTTCTAGAAAAAGTGTTCATTACATTCCACTTCATTCGAAACAAAGTTCTTGGTCGCATTGGTGAACATTTTTACTAAATTTAAAACGGTTCGTTTCATTTTATTTTTTTCTAGAAAATGGGCAGGATTTTGGGGTTATGTCTATTGACCAAAAATGATTGTAATTGACCCCCGCAACCGAAAATAATTTTTCTAGAATGGTTTGCAATTTTTTAATTTTGTCGAAAAATGTCACATCTTCTCGAATTTTTTTCTAGAAAGTGGGTAGAATTTTGGGGTTATGTCTATCCACCATAAATGCTTATAATTGTCCCCCACAACCGAAAATAATTTTTCCGGATCGATTTGAAATTTTTGAATTTAATTGTTAATAACTTTTTAACGAAGCTTCCATCAACAAATCTTTTTTGGATCTGCAATTGAATTATGCTCAATAAAGCAACCGATTCTTTATTTTGCCTTCCGGGACCGTTCATTTTACATTAATTATTTTAGTCCTATCATTTACTGTTTTCACAACAGCTTCATTAAATTTTATATTTCTTAATATCAATCAATTGCAATCATTTTGTGTGACATTATTCGTACACAGACATTGTCTAACGACTTCAAACAGAAACTGGCTGGAAAAGTCTTGAAAATGTTATTCCTGTAATTTTTCAATTAAACTACTTTCACATATTAACAATAATAAAAGCTTTATTAGGCTTCACTATTGGAAAAAAAGCGAAAAAAAACAATCTAGATACGTTTGCACGTCACTGTATATTAATACCAAATTTTTTTTACAAAAATTATGACAACTTCATAAAACAAGCTATTTTCTATTTGTTTATATAGAAAATTATTCTAGGGGGCATGAAAGACCATAATGTGTCATCCCAACGTTAATTTTTTGTCTACAGGGTGTCTAATTTCATTAGAGATTTATCATTTAGGTATGTTTATTTATGAATACTGAAATTTTGAATTAAGACGGCAAAATAAGTTAATTATTGAAACGATTTTATTGATGATATTAAATTGAATATATTTTATTTTGTAGAACAGTGAAAATTAGTTGAAAAATTACATTTTTTTCAATTTTTATATTATACCATATATCTTCGAAATTTATTACTTTTTTTTTAAATAAAGAATTGAAATCCTGCGGTACTTTTTACGTCAATACAGAACCAGAAATATGGCGTTTTAAAGTTTAAATACGAAAAATCACCTTTGTCGAGACAATATACAGGGTGTCCCGTAAATAGTGTAAGAACCGGAAATAGGGGGGGTAGCTGAGACGATTCCGAACAACAATTTCCTTTGCAAAAATGTCGGATGTGTATTTGGTAATCTTTTAACTTTTAAATTACCTCTTTTCCGTTTTACGTAAAGTTAATAATTTCATTAGGGGGCATTCTACTGTAAAACGCCTATTTTTAGGTCTCTTTTATCATTTTTTAACAGGGAATTATACGACTTTTTTTTATTTCTATAACTCAAAAATATTTATTGCCATTTGTCAAATTATATACAAACTTTTTCAATGTAAAATATTAATAATTGATCATTATGTTCTAGGACGTGGTAAAATAAAAAAAAAAAAACATCGTTTCGTGGTTTTCATGGTTTCAGCCATTGTATATGTTTCAAGTAAAAAATGAAAATAGATTCAACCAATACCGATAAATTCAATTTAGAAACGATAGCTTTTATCGATAAATTAGAAAGTCGATTACCGCAATTACAAGTTCATGATTTCGATTTAAAAAATTTAACCAATCACGGCGCTCGCTTGCAAATGTTGCATAATTCGCTGCTACCAATTATCTTCGAGTTGGACTTTCCAAGACTTTTCCCATAAATTTCCCATTCTTCTTGCACGAAAAGGGGGCTGGAAAAAAAATGGTTGGAGGGGGTCCTTCAGTTTTGACGTGTCCCGCGTACCCTCATCCGGCCCCGTAAAGGCGGCCCCTTTCTCTTCCTACACGTAACTGATGTAACACAGGACACGCGTCTGTTTCGTGTCTAGAGAAAATCGGAGAAAGGATCCCTCCCCCCGTGCAATGTGCGTCCTGTCTTAGGGGGGTTTTCTAGTCGCCCATGTGTTTTTGCATGGAACGAAAGACCTCTAAAGTATCTGTGTTTTATTTGTTCCAGAGATGTCCTGCTGTTCTTTGGCGGCCGGGTCTTGTCGCAGTCTCTGCTCCAAGGTATGCTTCCCTAAGAATTCGACCTACGACACCAAATGAGCTACAATTAGAACGACACGCGATTCCCAGACGCGCTTGGAAAAAATAAAATGGAACGAAGTAATTTACTATATCTGTATTGGAAACGAGAATGGAGAAAAATTTTAATGGGAGATTCCAGAGGCTAAAGTAAGACGAAAATCAAGAATATCAATTTGTTGATGGAGGCTTCGTTAAAAAGTTATTAACAATTAAATTCAAAAATTTCAAATCGATCCGGAAAAATTATTTTCGGTTGCGGGGGACAATTATAAGCATTTTTGGTGGATAGACATAACCCCAAAATCCTACCCACTTTCTAGAAAAAAATTCGAGAAGATGTGACATTTTTCGACAAAATTAAAAAATTTCAAACCATTCTAGAAAAATTATTTTTGGTTGCGGGGGTCAATTACAATCATTTTTGGTCAATAGACATAACCCCAAAATCCTACCCATTTTCTAGAAAAAAATAAAATGAAACGAACCGTTTTAAATTTAGTAAAAATGGTCACCAATGCGACCAAGAACTTTGTTTCGAATGAAGTGGAATGTAATGAACACTTTTTCTAGAAAATAGAATACCTTGTTCTAAATTTAGTAATGAAGATCCACTATATTGTGATGACGTTCAACTTGAAACAAAGAAGTTTGATTTAAACTATAAATTAATATATTACTATATATGTATTAGAAACGAGAATGGAGAAAAATTTTAATGGGAGATTCCAGAGGCCAAAATAAGACGAAAATCAAGAATACCAATTTGTTGATGGAGGCTTCGTTAAAAAGTTATTAACAATTAAATTCAAAAATTTCAAATCGATCCGGAAAAATTATTTTCGGTTGCGGGGGACAATTATAAGCATTTTTGGTGGATAGGCATAACCCCAAAATCCTACCCACTTTCTAGAAAAAAATTCGAGAAGATGTGACATTCTTCGACAAAATTAAAAAATTTCAAAACCATTCTAGAAAAATTATTTTTGGTTGCGGGGGTCAATTACAATCATTTTTGGTCAATAGACATAACCCCAAAATCCTACCCATTTTCTAGAAAAAAATAAAATGAAACGAACCGTTTTAAATTTAGTAAAAATGGTCACCAATGCGACCAAGAACTTTGTTTCGAATGAAGTGGAATGTAATGAACACTTTTTCTAGAAAATAGAATACCTTGTTCTAAATTTAGTAATGAAGATCCACTATATTGTGATGACGTTCAACTTGAAACAAAGAAGTTTGATTTAAACTATAAATTAATATATTACTATATATGTATTAGAAACGAGAATGGAGAAAAATTTTAATGGGAGATTCCAGAGGCTAAAGTAAGACGAAAATCAAGAATATCAATTTGTTGATGGAGGCTTCGTTAAAAAGTTATTAACAATTAAATTCAAAAATTTCAAATCGATCCGGAAAAATTATTTTCGGTTGCGGGGGACAATTATAAGCATTTTTGGTGGATAGACATAACCCCAAAATCCTACCCACTTTCTAGAAAAAAATTCGAGAAGATGTGACATTTTTCGACAAAATTAAAAAATTTCAAACCATTCTAGAAAAATTATTTTTGGTTGCGGGGGTCAATTACAATCATTTTTGGTCAATAGACATAACCCCAAAATCCTACCCATTTTCTAGAAAAAAATAAAATGAAACGAACCGTTTTAAATTTAGTAAAAATGGTCACCAATGCGACCAAGAACTTTGTTTCGAATGAAGTGGAATGTAATGAACACTTTTTCTAGAAAATAGAATACCTTGTTCTAAATTTAGTAATGAAGATCCACTATATTGTGATGACGTTCAACTTGAAACAAAGAAGTTTGATTTAAACTATAAATTAATATATTACTATATATGTATTAGAAACGAGAATGGAGAAAAATTTTAATGGGAGATTCCAGAGGCTAAAGTAAGACGAAAATCAAGAATATCAATTTGTTGATGGAGGCTTCGTTAAAAAGTTATTAACAATTAAATTCAAAAATTTCAAATCGATCCGGAAAAATTATTTTCGGTTGCGGGGGACAATTATAAGCATTTTTGGTGGATAGACATAACCCCAAAATCCTACCCACTTTCTAGAAAAAAATTCGAGAAGATGTGACATTTTTCGACAAAATTAAAAAATTTCAAACCATTCTAGAAAAATTATTTTTGGTTGCGGGGGTCAATTACAATCATTTTTGGTCAATAGACATAACCCCAAAATCCTACCCATTTTCTAGAAAAAAATAAAATGAAACGAACCGTTTTAAATTTAGTAAAAATGGTCACCAATGCGACCAAGAACTTTGTTTCGAATGAAGTGGAATGTAATGAACACTTTTTCTAGAAAATAGAATACCTTGTTCTAAATTTAGTAATGAAGATCCACTATATTGTGATGACGTTCAACTTGAAACAAAGAAGTTTGATTTAAACTATAAATTAATATATTACTATATATGTATTAGAAACGAGAATGGAGAAAAATTTTAATGGGAGATTCCAGAGGCTAAAGTAAGACGAAAATCAAGAATATCAATTTGTTGATGGAGGCTTCGTTAAAAAGTTATTAACAATTAAATTCAAAAATTTCAAATCGATCCGGAAAAATTATTTTCGGTTGCGGGGGACAATTATAAGCATTTTTGGTGGATAGACATAACCCCAAAATCCTACCCACTTTCTAGAAAAAAATTCGAGAAGATGTGACATTCTTCGACAAAATTAAAAAATTTCAAACCATTCTAGAAAAATTATTTTTGGTTGCGGGGGTCAATTACAATCATTTTTGGTCAATAGACATAACCCCAAAATCCTACCCATTTTCTAGAAAAAAATAAAATGAAACGAACCGTTTTAAATTTAGTAAAAATGGTCACCAATGCGACCAAGAACTTTGTTTCGAATGAAGTGGAATGTAATGAACACTTTTTCTAGAAAATAGAATACCTTGTTCTAAATTTAGTAATGAAGATCCACTATATTGTGATGACGTTCAACTTGAAACAAAGAAGTTTGATTTAAACTATAAATTAATATATTACTATATATGTATTAGAAACGAGAATGGGGAAAAATTTTAATGGGAGATTCCAGAGGCCAAAATAAGACGAAAATCAAGAATACCAATTTGTTGATGGAGGCTTCGTTAAAAAGTTATTAACAATTAAATTCAAAAATTTCAAATCGATCCGGAAAAATTATTTTCGGTTGCGGGGGACAATTATAAGCATTTTTGGTCAATAGACATAACCCCAAAATCCTACCCATTTTCTAGAAAAAAATTCGAGAAGATGTGACATTTTTCGACAAAATTAAAAAAATTCAAATCGATCTAAAAAAATTATTTTTGGATACGGGAGTAAATTGCAATCATTTTTGTTGAACAGACATACCCCTGAAATCCTGCGCATTTTTGAGAAAGAAAATAGTTCGAAAATCAAGAATATCAATTTGTTGATGGAGGCTTCGTTAAGAAGTTATTAATGTATGTCTATTCACCAAAAATGATTGTAATTGATTCCCGCAGTCGAAAATAATTTTTCCAGAACGATTTGAAATTTTTTAATTCTGTCGAAAAATACTCGAATTTTTTTCTCGAAAGTGCGTAGGATTTCAGGGGTGTGTCTATTGACCAAAAATAATTGTAATCGACCCCTACAATCGAAAATAATTTTTCCAGGGTGATTTGAAACTTTTTTTGAAAAATTTAGACACCCCTTGTCGATTTTTCTTATAAATTCATTTTTCATTTTTAATAAATTTGTTCGAAGCTGTACGGAAATTTTGTCTAATACTTTTTTGTAGTTATCCATGAGCTCTACTTTGGACAAAAATTTCATTCAAATATATTCGCTATTGTAGGAGTTATGGCTGTTTGAAAATTGGACCACTTTTATGTGGGTTTTTCTCATTTTGCGGTGTCAAGGATCAACATTCCGAATATTTTTGCGATTCGTACATGTTCTTCGTCTAAATACGCGTTGTTTGCCGTTTGAAACATTAAAATCGTCCAATTCGTTCAGGACAAAAAAAAAACAAAAGAAAGGGCGGAAAAAAACTTAACCTATCACGGTGCTACCTAGCGGCGTTGCTTAATAACAAAAAGAAAGGCGCGAAATTTAAACCTGAATATTCCAACGATTCATTTATTTTAACTTAAGGAATGTATAATAGAAATTGCATGCTGCAGAAATAAATATAAAAGGATCGATGATAAAATTGATCGTTTTAATTGATTTCTCGAGAACGCAACGATTCAGTTTTCCCTAACCTTCTGATTAGGATGAACGTGTTAAAAAGCTGACGGTCGTTACGCGTTATTATCGATTTATCGAGTCAAGTTGTCCTCTCTGAATCGCCTGGATAACAATCGTTCTGCTATATCTATTAATTATGAGCGCTGAGGATCATCGTGGGAATTTTAAAAAGACAATTTCGAGGGAATATAATATCGCACGGCTGATAAATATCGGTGGCCCGACCCCGGGAACGATAAAGGGTACAAAATATGCCGTGTCCACGGATATATTAGGATCTCTCTGCGGATAAAAAGGAAACTGCGCGGCGAGGATGGAACGGCGGGGCGAAGGTGAAAGGAGAGAAAGAGAAGAGAGAGGAGAAGAAACGAGAGGGAGCACATTGGTTTTTCGACGGAGCGACCTGGGGCGCACGCGTGGTTGTAGCTTCTTTAAAAGTGGCTGCAGGGGCCCCTCTCGAGATAATATCGGAGACACTGGGGCCCGCTGAGAGATTTACGCGGGACCCCCTCTGGGGGGAGGCCCCCGGTAAGCTCATTCATACGCAAATGTTACGAATTGACGCACTCCACTCCGGTGAAGCGAGCACCGTATCAATGATATCGTGTTTCCTTGCAATTTGTAGCTGAGAATGCGAACTTCTACTTTTCATAAGATCTAAGAGGTTGTAGATCGAAGCCTCTGTCTCTATGAAATTCCATCGAAATCGTCGACGAATCGCTTGGA